GCTAGGGAAGGGTAAGTGGAAGGAGGTGAGGGAGGAATGGGGTACGCGCCCCCGATGGGGAGGACTGGGCTGGCTCTGCGGGCTTCTGGGGTGGAATCTCTCCTGCAGCCCCCCAATTGCCCCCTCTCCCCAGATGGCAGCTTGCGGCAAGTGCAGCTGGGCTGATGGCCGAGTGCTGTGATGTGCCCAGTGTGGGTACTCCGGGGACTCCAAGCCAGGACCGCTTTGCAAGCGGGGCACCCCTGAGAACTGTCTGTCCGGGGTGGGGGTCGGGACCCTTTAAGCGCAGCCCTCGGCTAGCCTGAGACAGCATCTCCATGCTCTAAGTCCTCCTCTGATGCCCTGCCAGCACTGCTTCCGGACATCCTTAAGCCCTGTTCAGGGTCCACTTAATGTGGACATGCTAGTTCGAATTAGCAAAACGCTAATTCGAACTAGTTTTTTAGTCTAGATCCATTAGTTCGAATTAGCTTAGTTCGAATTAACTAATTCGAACTAAGTTAGTTCGAATTAACGTTGTAGTGTAGACATACCCTTACAGAGTTGACAAACTAGCCCACTGTACACAGGGATCACTGCATTCTCCAGTTAACTGAATTAGATCTTTTAGGGCGTGTCTAGACTACATGCCTCCGTCGATGGAGGCATGTAGATTAGACAGATTGGCAGCGGGAAATGAAGCCACGATTTAAATAATCGCGGCTTCATTTAAATGTAAATGGCTGCCCCGCTCTGCCTGTCAGCTGTTTGCCGGCAGATCGGGGCAGTCTGGACGCGCCGCGGTCGACAAAGAAGCCTTTGTTGATCAGCGCAGGTAAACCTGGTTTCACGAGGCATACCTGCGCCGAATGGCTTCCCCGCTCTGCCTGTCAGCTGTTTGCCGGCAGATCGGGGCAGTCTGGACGCGCCGCGGTCGACAAAGAAGCCTTTGTTGATCAGCGCAGGTAAACCTGGTTTCACGAGGCATACCTGCGCCGATCGACAAAGGCTTCTTTGTCGACTGCGGCGCATCCAGACTGCCCCGATCTGCCGACAAACAGCTGATCAGCAGAGCGGGGCAGCCATTTAAATTTAAATGAAGCCGCGATTATTTAAGTATCGGCTTCATTTCCCTCTGCTGATCTGTCTAATCTACATGCCTCCGTCGACGGAGGCATGTAGTCTAGACACACCCTTACAGTGCATATCTCACTCTATCCAACAGTTTAGGGCAGGAGAAGAATGCTGTATCTAGGTGAAGAATAGGAGTTGTCAGGGCAGCAGAACGTGGCCAAGACATCAGAGTTAATATACTTATTCTGGGGGAAGATGCCATAGGAGCCTTAAGAAAAGTAATTTGTCAAGATGACTATTTTATGTTTCATATGAATGGGCTGAAGAGGATGAACTCAGATTCAGCGTTGCTTGGAATGTAAATACAAGAATGTCCATATTATTTCTTCTACATTTCAGATTCATGAGACAATCGAATCTATAAACCAGCTAAAGATACAACGTGATTTCATGCTGAGTTTCTCCAAAGATCCCAAAGGATACATTCAAGACCTTCTCCGATCCCAGAGCAGGGATCTCAAGGTGAGCAGGGGTTCTAGGAGGGAAGAGGAAGCAGAGGAATAAGAGCCTGTGCTGTGCATGTAGAATAGTGATAGAAATGTAGCCGTGTTAGTCTGGGGTAGTTGAAGCAAAATGCAGGACAATGTAGCACTTTAAAGACTAACAAGATGGTTTATTAGATGATGAGCTTTCGTGGGCCAGACCCACTTCCTCAGATCAAATAGTGGAAAAAAGTAGTCACAACCATATATACCAAAGGATACAATTTAAAAAAATGAACAAATATGAAAAGGACAAATCACATTGCAGAACAGAAGGGGGATGCGGGGGGGTGGGAAGGGGGAGGAAGGAAGGTAAGTGTCTGTGAATTGCTGATATTAAAGGTAGGGAGAGTGGGATGTTTGTGAGTTAATGGTATCCAAGGCCAGAAGGGACCACTCTGATCACTTAGTTTGACTTCCTCTAACATAAGCCATAGAAAGGGGTGGTGAAACTTTTTTGAGTTGGGGACCACCCACCCACAGAAAATCATTTGGAGGCCACACACAAATGAGGAGCAAAAAAACCAAAACCCTCATTGATGTGGCTGCTAACTGAGTAGGAGAAGGATTCTCCCCACATTCCCCACAGTGGCACATCCAAACAAGCCACATGAACTCAGTACTGGTGCACAACACAAAATTCGTTCTGCTCATGGGAAGAAACTCTTAGAGGGAACACTTCCCCCAGCCTCTCTGCCCCCAAGTTAATGTCACACACAGTGGGTTAATGCAATTGCAGGATAGTTGCATGAGGGAGGTTTGGGGGGGGGGCCAAACTAATCGCTATTGGTAGGGGGGTGGTGGGAAAAGTCCTTAGAGAGGGGACTTTACTTCTGGTCATGTGTCCATCAGAGAAAACATTAAGAACATTCCCACTTCCTCACAACAGGTACAACAAAATATAATATAATATAATATATTTGATGCATAATGGAATCAACAATGGGTTCGTTCCATATTCAAAAGAGTATTAATAATGTTGATATTCTTAGGTAAATATTTTTTTCTTCCAATAGTGATATTGCGCAGTAAAGGGAAACTGTTACAGCCTCTCTGCCCCCAAGTTAATGTCACACACAGTGGGTTAATGCAATTGCAGGATAGTTGCATGAGGGAGGTTTGGGGGGGGGGCCAAACTAATCGCTATTGGTAGGAGGGTGGTGGGAAAAGTCCTTAGAGAGGGGACTTTACTTCTGGTCATGTGTCCATCAGAGAAAACATTAAGAACATTCCCACTTCCTCACAACAGGTACAACAAAATATAATATAATATAATATATTTGATGCATAATGGAATCAACAATGGGTTCGTTCCATATTCAAAAGAGTATTAATAATGTTGATATTCTTAGGTAAATATTTTTTTCTTCCAATAGTGATATTGCGCAGTAAAGGGAAACTGTTAAACACTTATGGTTTCCAGTCCATTTTTACATTATTTAATAAAATATATATCGGCTTACAGGGTGAGTGGGCGGGCGGAGGTCTGGGGGGACTAGACCCATTCTGGGCACCACCAAAAATTATACAAACCTGCTGCCCCTGTCAATAGAGAGTACGCTTACTAAGTTTGCAGATGATAGGAAGCTGGGAGGGGTTGAAGCTCCTTTGGAGGGTAGGGTCATAATTCAAAATGATCTGGATAAACTGGAGAAATGGTCTGAGGTAAATAGGATGAAGTTTAATAAGGACCAATACAAAATACTCCACTTAGGAAGGAACAATCAGTTTCACACATATAGAATGGAAAGCGACTGTCTAGGAAGGAGTACTGCAGAGAAGGATCTAGGAGTCATAGTGAATCACAAGCTAAATATGAGTCAACAGTGTGAGGCTGTTGCAAAAAAAGTAAATGTGATTCTCGGCTGCATTAACAGGAGTGTTGTGAACAAGTCATAAGAAGTCATTCTTCCGCTCTACTCTGCGCTGATTAGGCCTCAATTGGAGTATTGTGAGCACTTGAAATCTGGGCACCATATTTCAAGAAGGGTGTGGAGAAATTGGAGAAGGTCCAGAGAAGAGCAACAAGAATGATTACAGGTCTAGAGAATATTATCTATGAAGGAAGACTGAAAGAGTTGGGCTTGGTTAGTTTGGAATGGAGAAGACTCAGAGGGGACATGATAGCAGTTTTTCAGGTATCTAAAAGGGTGTCATAAAGAAGAGGGAGAAAAATTATTCTCCTTGGCCTCTAAGGATAGGACAAAAAGCAATGGACTTAAACTGCAGCAAGGGAGGTTTAGGTTTGACATTAGGAAAATCTTCCTAACTGTCACGGTGGTTAAACACTGGAATAAGTTACCTAGGGAGGTTGTGGAATCTCCGTCTCTAGAGATATTTAAGAGCAGGTTGGTTAGACATCTATCAGGGATAGTTTAGACAATACTGGGTCCTGCTGTGAGGCATGGGACTGGACTCAATGACCTCTTGAGGTCACTTCCAGTTCTAGTATTCTATGGTTCTATGATTTATTAATTGACTTACAATAGCTCTGGACAGATACAGATTTTGGATAAGGACAGCACTGTTTTGGTTAAGATCCTGGCAATTTAATGTTGGTGAGGAAACCACGTATATATTGTTGCGACACTTGCACCCCACACTTTGAACTAGGGATGCAAATGTAGGTGACCAAAATTGCTAATGAAGCAGGGATTTAAATATCAAACCTTGGGGGGTTTGATTCGAACTAACACTGCCTGGAGCGCACTTCCTGATTCGAATCAGCTGGCGATCTGAATAGCGTGTGGGCGAGATTATGCTAATAAAGCGTGGGATATTTAAATCCCCGCTTCATTAGCAATTTTGGTCGCCTGCATTTGCATCCCTAGTTTGAACTAGGGTGCAAGTGTAGGCGTACCCTTTGACTCCAGGTATGTCAGAGTTTTAGATGCTGATTATGAGAGATGTGATAAGAAATCATTGCATCTTTGTCACAGGTAATGACTGATGTGGTTGGGAACCCTGAGGAAGAACGTAGAGCTGAATTTTATCATGAGCCCTGGTCCCAGGAGGCTGTGAGCAGATATTTTTACTGCAAGGTAAGGAGGAAATGTAACTTATCCTGTTTGTGTCATGCATGCTGGCTAACTGGGTATGGGGAGAGTGAATCTTTCTGATTGATAATGTGTGAATCTGCAGAATTGTACAGACGTATAATTTTTATTCTTTCAGATCCAACAGCGCCGTCAGGAATTGGAACAGTCCCTGGGAGTGCGTAACACATAAACATTATTCACAGTCTCCCATTGGCATCATGAAACTAGAGCCAGTGGATGTCTCAGTGTTACTTAGCTCACTGTTACACATGGACTTCTTAATGACTGGACAAGAATGTGCCATCAGCAACACCAGTCACAACACCAGCTTTAGTGTGACCCCTGAAAATCCTGCGAATGTGAGTGTCTCGAACCATTCCAGGCTGGAGAATGCACAAGTTTTCTATTCCCCATATAGGTGTTCATAATAATGAGGATTTAATGTTCATTCATCTACTTGCATCACTGAGTTTTAGTAGAAAGTTTAGACACTACACCACAAACTTATTGGACTACAACATATATTCATGGGTGGGGTGATGCTAGATGTCACAGGAGACTGTAGATGTGGAGAAACAAAGGCAGTTCTCATCCTTCATGCTTTCAGCTGTGATCTGAGAGTCTCAGATGACAACTTTCTGCACTGATAATTCCCTGAAATTGGCCAAAATGCTCTCCCAGCTGTGGAATCATTCAGATACACAAACACAGCTTCCATTCCAGCTGGAACTGGCTGCTCATTCCCATGGGAGAGAAAGATGTTTGCCCATTAAATAACAAAACATCTAAAAGAAAGAGGTACAGCCATGCCATTTGTTCTGAAAAACCTTATCCTCTTGAGTAAAAGATGAAGTCCGCTTCACACTCAAGTCAAGAACTCATCAGATTTGCTGTTATGAGAGGAAAATAATTGCTTCTATGATAAGAAAGCCAGCACTGGCATCACAGAAGCTAGTAGTGGTGAGGTTGAAGCCAAAAGGAAGCATTCTTGGAAAGTGAAACTAATTTTTTGTATTACTGCATTAGTTACAGTTGGTATTACTGGAAGGCTACAGTGTAAGGTGTCTGGTTTTGTAATCTTTTGTTGTTCTGGCTGTAACATTAGGAACACTGCTCAAAAGATTTTTCTTCCTAAACACTGAAGTGCTGCAGAGTCCAAGATGTGCAACTTCATAGCATGAAAGACCATTCCAGTGACTTCTTTTCTGTGTCAGGGCTTTCACAAACTCCATGGGTGAACCCTGTATTTCAACCACAGATTTACTACCTATACCAGAAGAAACGTTTAGCTCCTTCATTTGATCTGCAGCTGTACTTCAGGATGCTACTGAGTTACAAGCATTATTTGCCCCAGGCAAGTTCCAGCAACAGAGGTTGAGAATTTTTAGGAAAAAAACAGCTTCTCTTGAGACATATGGGAGATCCAGACTGTGAAAATTAGAACATATTAAACAGCTAGGAAGGAGGAAGCAGTGACACATGCCTACCCTATCCAGCCACAAATCTATGTAGCACTGTAATAATAAACCAACATGATTCCCAGCCCAAAAAGCAGTTGCCAAAGTTGAATGAATGACATATTGATTACTGAGAGATCAAACTCCTCTCCTGGAATAGTGCTCCTTGCTTCCTTTTCTACCTTCTCATGCAAAGAAAAATAAGTTCAGGTTTGTATTTCACTCTTCTTCCCAACAGTGTAGTTTGTTTTAATATTGCTATCTCCTCCCTGTCATCTTTGCAGGTCTTCCCTGTTGGGTATTGTCCTCTTCTGGTATACTCCTGAGTTTCTTTTGTCCAGTTCTGGAAAGGGACATTCATTCTCTTCATTTAACCTCTGCTTTTGTATACCATAGCTTTCACTCTGACCATTGTGTTCAGAGATCTGTTTGGGCATTTGAATTCAGATTGTGATGATGTGATAGTCAGTACTCTATTATAAATTAATTTGGTGTGAGATGGATCCCTGCTTTGTCCTAAACAGTAAGACCTTTTATTGTGAATGAGGGAGCTTGCTTCTTAGTGCTTGGACTAGATCATTTCAATTTTAAAACCACTCGGCTATGTCTACACTGGCCCCTTCTTCGGAAGAGGCATGCTAATTTCTCCCTTTTCCGGAGGATCTCTTATTCTTACTTCAGGATTCCGGAGGATCGCGCCAGTCTGGACGCTCTTTTCCGGCTTTTCCCCAAGCTGGAAAAAAAGCGGCGGCCATGTTTATTTAAATCCCGCGGGGGATATTTAAATCCCCCGCGGATTTCCCTATTCCAAAGTTAGAAATTAGCATGCCTCTTCCGAAGAAGGGGCCAGTGTAGACGTAGCCCTCCTGTTCTACTGTCTTAAGCTAAGGCTAGAGTGGGAATGGGAGCTTCCTCAGACATGAAGGATATTCAGCTTGCATTTACTCCATTAACCTGACCACAAGCTTAAGATTCAGAAGGGAACGAGAGTGAGTTATCTGCAACTGTGCTTCCATATTTATTAGGCTGCTGTATCCATTGTGTGCATGATATCCAGTGTGTAGGCTCTTTTCTGTACCTTTAAACAGAGCAACTACATTCAGAGGATGGGTTCTGTCTCCAGGAATAAGAAATATATAAATAATATGCATTTGTGGAAGGAAAGGAAGAGCAAGATCTGGGGCATTAAGCTGTACACTTATGTGCCGGAGAACTTGAAATTAAATACATTTTACCCCTCAAGTGTCAGTTGTTCAGATGTGTGGAGATTCCAGCTGTGCTGCCTCCGCTGATAAGAGAAGTTGGAGTAGCTCGTCTTCCTTATACAAGTCTGACTGTGTCCAGAATATAATTGAACATTTCTGTTGCCCGTTATTCAGAATCTCCATGGCTACGTCTACACTGGCACCCTTTTTCGGAAATGCTTAAAACGGAACAGTTTTCCGTTATAAGTATTTCTGGAAAAAGCGCGTCTACATTGGCAGGATGCTTTTCTGGAAAAGCGTCTGTGCCAATGTAGACGCGCTTTTCCGCAAAAAAGCCTCGATCGTCATTTTCGCGATCGGGGCTTTTTTGCGGAAAACACTACTGTGCTGTCTACACTGGCCCTTTTCCGGAACAGTTTTCTGGAAAAGGACTTTTGCCCGAACGGGAGCAGCATAGTTTTTCCAGAAAAACACTGACAATTTTACATTAGATCGTCAGTGCTTTTCCGGAAATTCAAGGGGCCAGTGTAGACAGCTGGCAAGTTATTCCGGAAAAGCGGATGATTTTCTGGAATAAGTGGCCAGTGTAGACACAGCCCATTAATATTGTTGCTTCCAACTTATATATTTCTACCACTGAGCTGTGTTAATGCTACAGATTAACTAGAGATAACACTGAATACATCCAGCTACAGGTGGTATTCTGAGAGCAACACTTCAGAGAAGATTGACCCTCCAGAGGTCGATCTTCTAGCGTTCAATTTAGCAGGTTTAGTGTAGACCCCCAAATTGAACTCTGAGGCCAGCCCTTGCCAGCAAGAAGTAAGGGAAACTGATGGGAGCACACGTTCCAGTCAACCTCTCGCAGGATGGCGTACCTTAAGCCAACCTGCCTGGTCTAGTGTAGACCAGGTCTTTGAGTCTCTCCCAATGTAGCCCATAATTATATTTTCCAATGATTATTTTTAGAAATGGTTGGTGGCTGGCTATCTTCCTTGGCTAAATTGAATATGAGAGTTTGATTTTTGTCGTTGTTCAAAAATAGTCCTGCTTCTGCTCTTTTACTGAGGATGTCAAGACAGAAGCAGTCTTCTGAGCTCTGGCTGTAGAGCCAGGAGCCCGAGCCAAGACTGTAAGCAAGATAGGAAATGTATGTAGGGAGAAACAATGCAGCAGGACTGGGTAGAAGCTGAACAGCATTGTAATCATGGCAGAATTTGAGCGATAAACTATATTGAATAAATTTAATTCATGGGTAGAAGAGGTAAGGAAGGTTCAGATCATGCCTAGTGCTATGAAAAAACCTACATGGACTAAAAAAGCCTTTCTGGCTATTTTATTTGATGTCATAGGAGAACACAAATCTATGCAGAGTGCAATAAAGACATCTCACATCTCTCAGAGAAAGGGGTGTAGATAAGAGCAGATAGGTGCATATCTATCTGTATATATAGTGTAAACTAGAACCTATAGTGGATGACTGGGAAAGGTTTAGTGCAGAATCCATGGCATGCCAATGCATGGGGACAAGGAAGGCACATCTTGGAGTTGAACTGTGAAGTTGATAGGTTTGTAACGCTCTTTTTAGTCATCCCAACTTTGCACAGTGGATAATGATTCAGAGGCGGTGCTTCTTAGCAAGTACTTTATAAAAAGACCTATTTGGCCATCTGGTCATTTTCCCCAAATGGATGGTGGAATGCAGCAGTGAGAAGACTTGCAGCAAAGTACCATTAAGTCATAGCACAGACCTGTGGAATACTTTTTGGATATAGCACAGTTCATGTCATTCAATATGTGTGTATGTAAAGTATAAATATGTATGGGTAGTAACCAATATGGTAACTTTTGTTGTGTAGGCTGGAGAATGGGTAGGGAGAAAACAGACTAATTGTCTGTCATAAACTTTGTCTGAATTATGGACATTGTAAAAAAAAGTGTCACCATTACTAACACTGGTTCAAATGAAACTCTTAGTTTTGGCAATTCTCGTTCAGAAAGCACTCCAGTTGACACAACTAATTAAAGCACCATATTGTTTAGAATTGTGCCTTGCAGCATTGGATGGCACAGTCCTGGTGTAGCTTGTGAGTCACCTACAGTAGGATGCCCTGTGTTGTTAATACTTGTTCAATCAAGTTTGTAGTTAGTTTTCTTTCTATTAAGAACTGTTCCAAAAGCTGTAGAAGCGGATTAGGGCAAAGCAGACTCTGTTTTCCTGAAGAGTGCTTCCTCCTTTCGTGTAACTGCTCTGTTGTTCAGTGAGCCACATCTGGTCCATCAGATCTTACCTTGTATGACAAACAGCTTTGCCAACATTTTTCAGGAATGGAACTCCATAACTTGTGTGTGTGTTTGTGGGTGTATGGGAAAGTAACAAGAGAGAGTGAAATTTCCTCTACTGTCACCATATCTTTGTTGTATGATGCAGAGTGATTCGTAGAAAAGCTTTTAACAATAAATAATTTGTTTCTTTGTAACCTTTGTTACATTACATCTCTCAACAAAGCATGCTTCATAGGCTCACTGTGCAACAATTGTACAGTTGTTTTCAAATTTATTAACAAACTGTAAGCAGAAGATTTCTGGAATGTCTTGCTCCTTCTGACAACTCAAAGGACTTCAGTATCTTCCTGAAGATTGCAAGCACAGCTTGAGGAGAGGAGAGGATTACAGGTTAACTGAAGGGCCAAATTGAGACATGTTTGCATAGGTCTACAATGGGGAAACTTTAAAAACAACAAATCGTCCTGCAACATCTTAGGCCGTGTCCAGACTCAGGGGTTTTTTCGGGAAAAGTAGCCTTTTCCCGAAAAAACTTCCCCTGCGTCCAGACTCAAGCCGCGTTCTTTTGAAATTATTTCGAAAGAACGCGGCTTTTCTTTCGATGGCGGTAAACCTCATTTCACGAGGAAGAACGCCTTCTTTCGAAAGTTCCTCTTTCGAAAGAAGGCGTTCTTCAATGTAAAGAGGCCGTCTTCGAAAGAGAGCATCCAGACTCGCTGGGTGCTCTCTTTCGAAAAAGCGGATTTCTCTTTCAAAAGATCCGCCTGCAGTCTAGACGCGATCTTTCGAAAGAGGCTCTTTCGAAAGATGCTTTCGAAAGAGCCTCTTTCGAAAGAAGCCTGCAGTCTAGACATAGCCTTAGAGACTAACAAAACATGATGATGGTATCATGAGCTTTTGTGAGCACAACCCACTTCTTCAGATGAATGGAGAAAGTTTTTAAACAATGGGGAAAGTTAGTTTTTTTTTTTCTTGCTGAGTCCCTGCCACCATCAGAAATATCTATCCTCATTCATCTGGGTTTCTTGTTGTCATTGGAAAAAGACTCAACACAGTTAATATTTTCTGCACAGATAGCTTTAAAGAGATTGAAAAAGGGGTGGTAAGTGTTTCCATTGGCCATGTCTGGGCTGCATCCATCTTGTCATTGCTTGTCTAATTTATGTCAATGGCAGCTTTGGGGTTGCATCACCTCCAGCTGTACCACTAAGCACACCACATACAAATCCTGAAGAATTAAATATTACCCCTGAGTATAGGCAGGTCTGCCTACTTAGTTTTGTCATTTTGCACCTTCATTTTTATTCTGTGATGGGAGTAATATCCATTCTGTGATGGGAGTAATAGGGTTAGGGCAGTGGTCTCCAACCTTTTTACACCCAAGATCACTTTTTAAATGACAGACCAAGCCAAGATCTACCACCCTGCCCCTTCCTTGATGCCCTGCCCTCTCTATTCTCCTCCTCTCCATCACTTGCTATCCCCAATCCTTATACTGCTGCTTTTTAAAAAAGGTTTTTCCAACATTTGGAAGAGGTTTTTCAACATGTGGAAGTGGTGCTCAGCCAGGGTGCACCACGCTCCACGTGGGCTGGTACAGAGAAGACCCTGCCTGGCTAGCTGGCTGTGGCCTTCAGCCCGGAGGAGGCTGAACCACGCTCCAGCTGATTGAGCGGCTATCTCTCTGCACCTGCCCACATGGAGCTTGGTGCACCCTGGCTGAGCGCCATGGCCAGCTGGCCGGGAAGCCGCTTCTCTTCGTTCCTGCCCAGCTGCTCTGCGCTCAGCCCAGGAAGCTTGCTCCAGCACAGCTGGAGCTAGACGCAGCCTCCCTCGGCTGAACGCAGGGCAGCCGGGCTGGAGGGAAGAGAAGTGGCTGCCC